ATTACTCATGGGTCCATTAACGAGGGACATGCGCACCATTCAAAAAGTCGTTTTGTATATAAAAAGACTCCTTTATTCTTCTCTTTATTTTTTTGATATGCAACTTATCGACGATTACCGATCACCATCAATTGGGGTATAACAACCACTGATAGTTTGCCACAATCGCTCCTCTGCTTTGTTGGCTTCACCCTCACCTTCTTCCTAATCGGTGAACCCCTCTCAATGTCCTCTTGCACTCCCCTTGTCTTTCTCCGCTTGCCATTGCCGACTGGAACTCCCTCATCATCGTTGTCTGTTAGATTTAGACCATATCTGACTAGATCTACATTAGATTTAGCTAGATAGGTCTAAAGCACTGGAGTACAATCCTCTTTCTATGTTTATCTCCCTCATTCGATATCTTACTTTTTCTATTTTTTCTCTCTTACACACTTTTCCTTTCCTATTTTAATAGGGAAAATTTTCAAATTCTGAACAAATATTTTTTCAATTTTGGTTATAGACCGTGAAAACAAGAAAATTTTGCAATTTTGAAGACATGTTTATACTTTTCTCTATTACTTTAATCTTTTTTTTTAAAAAATATTTTTTTGAACTAAATCTTTTTAAAGATTATATTAACTATTTATGACTAATTGAGAAAAAAAGAGTCTCATTTTGGTAATGCATTTCTTCAGTTTTAGATATAGGCATTGAAAACTAGAAAATTTTGAATTTTAAGAACACATTTCTTATTTTCTCTATGGCACTAGACTTTTTTTCCCCTTTATTAAATACAAAAAAAAAAAAGAAGCAAATATTGACAAATTGAAAAGTTGCAAACTCTTAGAAACTACTGATCTGAGATCTCTACCATTGCCGCAACGTGAAATTGTGTTTTGATAAATCACAAACGAGCAAATTGCTAATTTTTTTAATTTTAAAACTAAAAATTTATGCAGGTTGATGAGCAATAAATTCAAATTCTAATTTTTTGCAATTTTGTGCATTGAAAATTATGTGTTCTGCATGATAAAGAGTTTTTCCCCCCCATGTTTTGTGGTGTTAGAGAGGATGTGGTTAAATTTCGCTATATTTTCACTCTAATTTCTCCCTTTCTTCTTTTCTTCTTCTTCTTCTTTTTATTTTTTTATTTTTTTTATTATTTATTTTTTACCAGCAATGTTTTGGACATTTTGGTCTCCGGCGATGTTATTGACATCTAGCAACATTCTAGTGAATTTTTAAAAGGTTTTTTTCACAATTTTTTTTTTTACTTTTTAGGTATATTTATGTTAGGTATGTCTAAAAATTAAAAAAAAAATTGCTTAAAATATTAAAAAAAATCATTGAAAACATTAAAATACGAAAAATGAAAAAGTAAAATTTTCTGAAAACTGTTTTCTGAAAACTGGAACCAAAAAGCTGATTATTTCCGCTCTTATTTCTTCCTTTCTTTTCCTTTTTTTTGCAATTTTCTAGATATTTCAGTGAGTCTCCAGTGATGTTCTCAACATCCGGCAACGTTCTAGATATTCCAGTGAGTTTCGGTAACGTTCAGAACATTTTAGTGATAGTCTGGCGGTGGTTGATGTGGCAACAACAATGATAGTGGAATATAAACGTATTTTGTTCTTTAAATTAAAAAACATAAGAATAGAATTTTATGATAGCAATTAAAAGTGAACAAGACTTTTTGATGCACCAAAAAGTTAAGAGAACTTATTGGTACACCCATCTCTCTGCCAGTTCGCTATATTACAACTAAGGGGCGGTTTGGAATGTTTTAAATAAGTGCATTTTTTGAATTTTTATGAAATATGAGTTGAGTATGGGTTGGGTTTGAAGTGATATGGTAGAGAGGTGATATGACTTAAATAAAATGATGTCACTACAAGAAAAATCACCTTTGGCGACTAAATTTTTTGTCGCCAAAAGTCCATTTTTAGTCACCAAAAGTCGACTTTTTAGTTTCCCCGACTAAAATTTTTAGTTGCCGCTTTTGTCGCGAATATATGGTCGCCGGAGGTATTGGCGACTAAAACTTTTTTAGTCGGCAAAAAACAGGTCTTTAGCGACCAAAGTTTTAGTCGCCAATAGTGATTTACACTTTTGAAAATCATACATTTAGCGACTAATCCTTTAATCGCCAATACTCACTGAATCGCCGACTAAACCGTTTAGTCGCCAAAGGTGCTTCCATGAAAAAAAAAAATGCCAACTTTTTTGCTTTTTCTGAGATTTGAACCACCAACCTGTCCCAGGTTCTAAACCTTTAGGAACACAATCCCTCCACTATGCCACTACAACACCACATGAATATATATGCAATATATATTATTTATATAGTATATTGACCTGTATTAATATAAAACTATATATATAAATATAATTATTTTTATTCAATATAATTTATGTAAAAAATAAATTATTTACTAAAAAAAAATTGAGGCCACTTTTGGCGACTAAATCCATTATTTAGTCGCCAATTCTGTAATTTTGGGCTACTAATTATTTTTTAGTCGCTAAAAAAATAAGTTTCGCCTAACAATAAACAGTTTTGGCGACTAAACCTATTTTTAGTCGCCAAAAATGTCCCATTTTGGCTACTAAACTGAATTTTAGTCGCCAATTGCTTGTTTTTAGCTACTAATTTTTTTTTGTAGCCAAAAAGCTTCACTTTCAGCGACCAAACTATTTTTAGTCGCCAAAACACGTATAATCGGCGACCAAACTGTTTTTTAGTCGCCAAAACCTATACTTTTGGCTACTAAATTATTTTAGTCGTCAAAAACCGTTACTTTTGGCTACTAAAAAACCTTTAGTTGGTAAAACCCACATAATCGGCGACTAAATTGATTTTTAGTCGCCAATAACTATACATTTGGCTACTAAATTGTTTTAGTCACCAAAAGTCTTCACTTTTGGCTACTAATTCCATTTTAGTCGTCGAAAATGGCACTTTCAGCGACGAAAATAATTTTTTTAGTCGCCATTTTTGCATTTTCTTGTAGTGTGTGACTTAAATAGGATAGTGACTTTTTGAATTTTTTAATATATGCCAAACAAGGCCTAAGTTTGAAATAAAACATTTTTTTTTAAGAAAAAAAAAGTAATACTTTTTGTGATGAAAGTTATGAATAACGAAATTATGTGTACAACTCCCCTAAAGTTATCAATGACGAAATTATATATACTTTCTATAATAAAAATTATACTTTTGTGTGATGAGTTAAAAATAATGTTTTTCTTTTGTATAAATAAACTATCAAGTTAAGCAAAAAGCTAGTAAAGATGTTGCATTCAAACAAAACTTCAAAAATTGCTTGAGTCAAACTAGCTTGAATTTTTTCCTCATAAATTAACTAAATTCACGAGGAAAAGAAAAAATAGAAGTAAACCAAGCAAGTTCTTAACAGATAAAATTACTATCCTGAGGCCTTGTATGGTAACATGTTATTTTAGTAATTTTTTAATTTTTTTGGCTAAAATATGAGATAAAAAAATTAGTATGTTTGAAATAATTTTTTTTTTTTTTACTTTTTACTAAAGGACGTGTAAAAAATAGAGAGAAAATTTAATCTTTAACTTTTTGTATAATTTGTAAGTTTTTTTTTGACTTTTTTAATAACTTTTAAACTTTTAAACTAAAAGTGAGTATTTTCAAACGAGATCTCAATGGTCATTCCCCTACCTTGATTTAATCGTCTTGGTTCAAATGTATGTTGCTAAGTTCAACGATCATTCCCCCACCTTCCTCTCTCTCATTTTTCTTTACAATCAGCAAGAGGAGAGTAGAGAAAGGGAAAATAGTATTAAGTACTCGAGCCATTTAGACTCTGACCATCACGTCTACTAAGAAAGTGTCTCATTCACTACAACTAGGACTATAAACGAATTGAGTATTTGGTTGTTGACTTCAAAATGCATTTAAATTTGACTTGTTTACAAAATAAGTTAATTTTGAACGAGTTTTTAATAAATTGAAAACTAATCAAGCTTCAAAATATATTAAAACCTAACTTCCTTACGTAACAAGTCAATATCAAACAAATTTTAAATGAGCCGAACACGATTCAAACTTAAGATGCTTGATTCATTTTACCATCCTAAATTTTAAACTTAAGAGTTCAATAGTCCAACAAACAATATAAATTAAGAAAAAAAGAACTCATGGAATAAAAGTATAAAAACTTGGGACTAATTAGGTTATTCTTTTTCTTGATGGACTTATCGTGTTAGAACATTTCTAAATGAAATTTATCAATAAAAAAGCATAACTTTTTACTTTTTACGAAAAAACATGCAAAAAATAGAGGAAAAAAATAGAATCTTTAACTTTTTTTGTATAATTTGTAAGTTTTTTTTTTTTTTTTTTGACTTTTAAACTAAAAGTGAATGTTTCCAAACGAGATATCAATGGTCATTCCCCCACCTTGATTTAATCATCTTGGTTCAAATGTATGTTGCTAAGTTCAACGATCATTCCCCCACCTTCCTCTCTCTCATTTTTCTTTACAATCAGTAGGAGGAGAGTAGAGGAAGGGAAAATAGTATTAAGTACTCGAGCCATTTAGACTTTGAGCATCATGTCTACTAAGAAAGTGTCTCATTCACCAAAACTAGGATCGTAAACAAATTGAGTATTTGGTTGTTGGCTTAAAAACTTAACAAATTTTAAAATATATTCAAATTTGACTTGTTTACAAAATGAGTTAGTTTCAAACGAGTTTTTAACAAATCGAAAACTAATCAAGCTTTAAACTATAGTAAAACCTAACTTTCTTAGGTAACAAACCAATATCGAATAAATTTTAAATGAGCCGAACACGATTCAAGCTTGAACTGCTTGATTCATTTTACAGTCCTGAATTATACCTTTTTTTTCTCTGTTATGTCTCTCGATTTTTCATGTCATCAATCAAACATCATTCTCCCTGTGTATGTTTTGTCTTGGGCAAAAGCAATAAATAGAGAGTATAATATCTACAGAAAAGCTCATCATCAATAATCTAGTAGAAATTAAAAGGAAAAAAATGCCAAAGGAATGACATTACATCCCGCCAAATGCATTTAAATTTTAAATTTTTTATCGATAGACACTTCTAGAACAAATCAGAGATTTTACAAAGAACCCACAAATCTCTGTTGTGTTTTATACGAGTGCATGAATCAAGCACAAAAAGAAAAATAAAATAAAATCTGTAATTTCTCAAATCAATGTCTTCAATTTGGAATATTCACCATCTCAGCTTGGCTGGGAAATACTGCAATAAAGTTTCACTAATTAAGAATGCGAAAAATCAAGATAAAAAAAAGAAAAAATTCGAAAAATGGACGTGCATAGAAACTGGTCACGGAACTCATAAGATGCCCCTTATTAGTGAACTGTTCTGTAAATGGTTTCTATACACCTAGTTTCCTGACTAGTGTAGTGCTCACCTTCTCAATAAGGGAAAGATAGTATGGCTTGACCTTCTCGACATCAATGCGAACTTTGCTCTTACTATAAAGGTCATATTTGCTGCATAAATTCAAGAAAATTTATGCGAAACAGTAAATTTTGTTAGTTATATTGGCATAACACATGAAATTAAAAATAAAATGCTAAACAAAAAAGAGGGGTTACTTGAAAATTTTTAGCCACTTCAAATTCTCAACATCATCCTCATTCATCAAATGTTTGTACGCTCCTGACTTATGTAATGCTGGAAGATGAATGATCCAGATATTCATGTTATTCATTAAAAAACTAAGTTTTGGAATTTGAAAAAAATATTTTGGCATAAATGCTTACGATAAAAAGAGTGGTATCGGATGATGAACAATGCAGCTGGAGGCAAAGTCGTTCCATTTTCCTTAGCCACCTGCAAAAATGAAAATCCAATTAGTTTAACAACCTGCTTTTATAGCATTAAAGATCGAAATTTGACTAAGTACTTGAATATTTTCTAAAGGGGTGAAACTGAGGCACACACCAAATACATGTAATCGTCATGCCCCCACGATATCATTACATTATCTAGTCCACAACCTTCTGAGTAAATTCCATTCTTGGTACTGTAAGTAAAGTTTTTTGAATCCGAATTGTACTCGAAGTACTGCATAAATAGTATTTATTCAAGTTTGTTAAGAGTCAAATTATTAATTAAATAACTTCTTGTTAAGTTTGGGGTTGAAGAAGCACACCTTGTGATGAACAATCGATTCGTCAAAAGCACACCCAAGAGGGAAGGTGTCACCTGTAATGTCAATTTTAATTAGTAAACTTAAAAACTGGTATATTTGGCATCGTTTTCATAAAAAATGTTCTATTTTTCTTCCTTTTGTGTGTGTGTGCGCATAAACAAACATTATGAAAAGTTCAAAATCATCCTCCTTTCATGTCGTTTTCAATTGTGTGAAAATAAAAATAATTTTTTAAAATTAAAAAAAAAATGTTGCCTAAAAATTGGATTCTTCCAAAAATATGTTTCCCAAAAAGCTTGGAAACAAAAAATTTTCAATAAAAAAATAAAAACGATACCAAACACTTGATCACATATCATTTAGTTGTCACTCATATTATATAGTTGTCATAACTCATATCAAAACACTCACCAACAACAGCCCATTGAGGAAGGCCCCCAAAGCTAGGATGAAGAAGAACTTTTCCAAGATCTGAAACCATTCAAAAGAGTTTATATGTAATCGGAAAAACATTGACAATCTATATTATGTTATAATTCACTACAGGGGTCTTGGCCAAGTTTTTAATGCTTCCATTTGTTTCGACAGAAAATATTTTCTTACACAAAAAATATTTTTGGAAGATGGAAAGAATAGTATTGAGTACTGTGTATACCATGAATAAGTCCAGTCAAGTGCAACCAATCTTCGTCAGGATAGTCCTTCCTAATTGCCTCGGCTGTCTGCAATAAGTGCTCGATTTGAGGCTCATCCAAGTCCGGATCGCTATCATCCACGACATCATTGAGAAGTTCACAGCATTCCCAGATGCTCATCTCCACTTTATCCAGCTTTCCATAATCCTCCCTCATCCTCTTCACCTGCATTTGTTTTCATTTTCTGTTATTGAAAACTGAAAAGATGGAAATTGATGCAAAAAATTTGTGTGACAAACTATTTTTGAAAATATTTGTTCTTAAGAAACGTTTCTAAACTTTTTTTTTTTTTTGAAGTTTTGAAGAATGTTTTCACACCAAAATGAAAAAGATGTATGTCTATGAATTTGTCATTGTTTTCAAAAACCCATTTAAAAACAAAAACAATAATGAAAAAAAATTGAAAACAATATCGAGCTATAGTGAACTTACAAAATCATATGTTTGGTTAATGCGGTTCACTCGATAGAATTCCTCAACAGTTTGTTGTCTTTCACTCTTTGCATCATAGTCCCTGTCAAGTTTTTTCATGTTTGAATTCATCTTGTCAATTCGGCTCAAACTTGATTGATTTATTGGCCTAATTACTACATGATGCAACTTCCATTTTTGCTCATACCAATTATAAATAAAAAAAAAAGGGGAAAAAAAAGGAAAAAAAAACAAAATAAAATTGACCTAAATGAGTGGCCAAATGAATTGATCTCTGGGGCATCAAACCCATTATCTTGCACAGATTTTGGAAGTGGAAATCCTTCATGCAAAACCAAGTCATTGTTATCAAAAAGAACCCTCTTATCCTCCCCTTGTGAACCTGTCAGTAAAATTAGAAAAAAAAAAAAAACATTTTATGAAATTGATTTTCTATACTGATCATGACGACCATCAAAGTATGTATCCAAAATGTATACAGAAACATGTTTTTATAAAAACAAAAACAATAAAAGCATACCCATATCAGGCTGCTCAATGAGGATAGTCATGTTGCCAACAAAGTTGAAAAGAATTGAAAGCACAAAGCAAAGAAAACAGAAGCAAAAGAGCTGTTTTGAATGGTGTGTATGGAATGAACTGTTCGGGAGAAATGAGAGGGTATTTATAGTACCATAAAATAAGTCCTTCCTGGATATTAGGAATATTTGGAGTCCTTAACTGAAAAATCTTAGTTTGTAGGATATACATTATTTTATCTCAATAGATATAGCCAAAGGAGCTCAGAAAACGTGATTACTATATATTAGTTCTACTCTCATATGAGCGCGTGTTGTGGGTCATAAGGAAGATTTAAAAATTGAAATCAACTAATTTATTTATTTATATATAATTATTATATAAATTATATGTTAATTTCATAATATAAATTTTTTTTATTAAAAATACTTACATTATGGAATATGCCAACTACTAGTTCTATTGCAATTGTCGACAATCAATGGTGAGCTATAACCGATTATTGACGAGCTCCAAAATAAATTTTGATAATTGTAACTTCTGACTGCCAACTTTAGTGATCATCTTTGACCATCACTCTGTCCATCTTCTAATGTCAACCACCATTGTAATTTATCAAGAATTTTATAAACTAGATAAGTTTTTATTTATATATATGTATATTATAAGAAACTGATAATAATATCAAACAATACCTATGGTGTTAAGTCTATTTTTGGATCTTAAATTTGTGAATTTATGTATATTTTATCCATTTTTTTAAAATTTCAATTTCCTAATAATTCTCAAACATATAATGTTCCACACACGCGCCCAATGGAGAGAGTAAGAAATTTACTTTATAATAATTAAAAAAAACCCTTCAGATGAGTCAGCATTACGTGCAATACTTCATATCCAATGTAACGAACCTTAATTGGGTGGGACCTACTGACTCGGCATCGCCTCACAACCGACGAATGCTTTGACTTTTTTTGTTTCTTGAAAGAGTAATGTTAGAGATCCCAAATATTTTATCAAAAGTTTTACCACAATGTGGGTCTCATGTGGGTCTTGTGAGACATTTGGTAAAATTTTTGGTAGAATTTTTGGTGCCTCTAACATTTTTGTTCTTGAAATCCACGGCTAAGCTGTGAGTCACATTAAGGCTTCGTTTCTGAACAAGTTAATTTACTAACTTTTTGACTATTTGATTAAAATACGAATTAAAAAAATTTAGAATAATTTTTTAACTTTTTACAAAATGATGTATAAAAAATTGAGAAAAAAATTTTTGACTTTTTGGTATGAATTGTTGACTTTTTGATTTTTTTAGAAACTTTTTAACTAACCGGCCTGTTGCCAAACGAGGCCTAAGTGGTGTTTGGAAAGATGGTACACAATTATTTTTTTTAATCTTAAAAAAAAAAGAAAAAAAATAAAGAGGTGATATAACCAAAAAATTCAAAAAGCTAAAAAGTTAGCCTGCATTTGGTTGTGTTTTGTAATTATGATTTGAGAGTATGAGTTGTATTTTGAGTTTGTGGGGTTTGGAATTATGATATGAGTGTAGAAAATTTGTTTGGTAAAGCGTTTTGAAAATAGTTTTGATTTGAGTGGGAAATTGTTGATGTGACATTTGATATTTGATACAAAAATTTACAATTCATAACTAAACATACAACTCAAAATTATTTTAAAGCACATAAATTTTTTTAAAAATTTCAAAAAATGTTTTTTTCGATTATATAAAAATTAACATATCAATTGCAAAGAAAAAAAATCACTATTTCGATCAACCGGCTGGACGTCCTGTCAGGCAAAATTTTCAAAAAAAAATTCTGAAAAGCGCGGCTGAGAAAGCGGCTGAGACAGAGCTCTCCGCAGAGCTTTCGAAACGTGATTCTAAAACAGTAAACAAATATCATATTCAAATTCTGGTGTAAAAAAACTAATTTAAAAACATAAATAAACAGAGTAATCTTTCCAAATTGCACCTAAATGTTATAATGGCTCAACTAAGAATAGAAGTTATCTAGAATCATAACAATACCAATTCAGATTTAATTGTGAAAAAATTATTTTAAATTATTATATTGTAATTTAAATTTATTTTATATATAAATTTTATATTAGATAAATTTAATATTTATCATACAATTATTTACTCAGAAAAATCTGTGTGGGTAAGTATGGGCTCCCACCCTTCTAGTTTGTTTGACATTAGCTAATATAATTAAAAAGTAAAAAATAATCTGTTATAAATTATTACATCACTTTTTTTATTTTGTGCATATCATTTTTTGTAAGAACATCTTTAATGGTGCATCAATTTTTTCACTAAATTTGAGTAAAAACTTAATTTGATATCAAGTGTTTCAATGGAGAATTTTGGAGCTTCATTAGACCACCAGTCGACCAGAAGGACGACCAGGCGGATGTCAGGCCAGTCGACTGGCCAATGTAATTTTTTTTTTGCCTTGAGGTGGTCATTCGGGGGACATCTGACAACAGTAATAAATAGTAATTTGATGAAAGAAAAGTTGATTCTCAGTTTGATGAAAGAAAAAAGTGAAATCATTGATTTGATACCAATTTGATGAAACCGTTGAAATTAAAAAATATATATTTTTTTATCAAATTTAAATTTAATAATAAGTGTGATACACTATTAAAAATGGTCTAATAGGTAAAAAATTAACTAAAATGGTATTGGTGTTACCACGTTAGCTATGACAGTCAACCACTTGAAATAGGAAGTTTGCTGCCCTTATTAACAGCCGGTTAATAAGCCTATATTTATTACAAATACATGATTGAAATTTTAATTAAAAAATCAAAAAATTATTATAAGTTATCATATTTTTTTTTTGTATATCTTTTTATAAAAAGTAAAAAAATTATTCAAATAATTTGTTCTCAAACCAAGCCTACATGTCTCAAATGGTTTTGAAAATTAAATTCCTTTATTTGAGATTTCTAATTTCATAAGAAATGGTCATATTTATTAATAAATCATTAAGTTAATTAACAATTTTTATTAATTTCAACATTTTATTTTAATTAATAATTTATGAAATTTTATAATTATATAAAAAAATAGTTACAAATTTTATTCTTTTAATTAATTCTGTTAAAAAAAATTCTAACAAGAAAGTATTTATAATTTTTCAAACTATAAAAAATAATTCGTATTTTAAAAAAATCTTAAAAAATATATTTACAATTTACCGTATCTGTAACTTATTATAACTTATTGTCACTGACTAATTGATAGTGGTGGTGACTATCTTCGAATTTGGAGTAACAGCTCTAGTACAGGGCCCGAATATGTAAGAGCTCGAATGGCTCAAAACTAGTTTCCCTCTCAAAAATTGATTTATGTAGCAAAGGTTTGATCCTCTGTTTTTGTTTTTATCGATTTATGTAGCAAGCTCACGTGTTCTATCAAACTAATGAAACAAAAACAGAGCACTCGTTTTGGATTTTTTTTCTTTTTTCTTTTTTCTTTCTCTGTTCTGAGAGGGTGAAAATGAAGAAAAAGAAGAAAAGAAGAAGAAGAGGGAGTTGGAAAATATTCTATACACAAATCAAAAAAAAAAAAAAAAAAAAAAAAAAAAAAACAAACAAAAAAAAAAAAAAAACAACCCCCTCTCTGCTCTTCTCTTGCGTCTACAATGGCCGCTCCAACTCCACTTCTGACTAATGAGCTTGACATAGTCATACCCACAATTCGGAACCTGGATTTCCTGGAAATGTGGAGGCCTTTCTTTCAACCCTACCATCTGATCATTGTGCAGGACGGTGATCCTTCGAAGACCATCAAGGTCCCTGATGGGTTCGATTACGAGCTCTATAATCGCAATGACATTAACAAGATTCTGGGTCCTAGGGCTTCTTGCATTTCCTTCAAGGACTCTGCTTGTTGTATTAATGTGCTTGCTCTTTCTTGCCATCAAAACAAATACAGATCTATATATATATATATATATTCATCTTCTTCATCTTCTTCTTCGTCTCCTTCTTCTCTTCCTCCCCCTGCTCTCATCTTTTCTCCTTCTCTCTCAGCTCTACCTGCTCTCTTTCTTCCATGTTTCAAAAAGGAAAGGGAACGAAAATAAAAGGAGAAAAAGAAAAAAAAAAATGAAACCCAAAACGACGTCGTCTTGGGTTTCGAGCCGATTCAAGCCAACGAGATTTCGAGCCCTCAAACATTTTTCTTCGGAGTAAATGTTGTGCCAGTGATGGGGCTCGCTTTGAATCTTATTTCGATAACATGAATAGTTCATTCTTCAAAATATATTGAGTACAATATATTTTTAAAAATTTAAATTAATTGGATATCGATAACCTCATGACTAGATCAAACTTGCATCTGTAAAAAAATAAAAATAAAAATTTATGGGTGTGATTTTGAGGATAAAATTGCATACAAATGTGATTTGATCATAAGATTATTGACATTCGATCAACTTAATTTTTTTATAAAAAAATTTATTTCATACATATCTAAAAGATGAACAATTCATATCATTAAAATAAAATCGTGAATTAACTCCATCGTGTGCACAACGGACACGGCTATGAACGGCGCCAACAATAACCCTCTATCCTTATCTTGGGTATCCACTTTTCATCATATTTTTAATTATATTATTAGCAGGGTTTAGAGGTTTATAATTTAGATTTCTAAATTTATTTATATTAATTTAATAAGAGAGGTAGGCTTTACATAATTGAGTATATGTCAAATTAAAAATTGACATATATTATATCATATTATTGTAGATCAAATTGTGAAAGATTTTATATAGGTATTAAATATTTTCCTTTTGTGTAAATTTATTAATTATCACAAATAAGCTATGTTTTACAAATTCTATTAATGCAGTTTTCACCATATTTTTAATTAGAGTAAAATTCGTGCTATGCACAATTTTAAACAATGACTTAAAATTTAATTTTAAAAGGGTTAATTGTTAAAAAATCTACTTTGTAATTGTTTAAAACATTAGGCTCAGTGAATATTTTTTATTGGTGAGAAGTCTACTCTTTGTAAATAGTTTGGTAAGAAATCTTTTCCTTGATTTTAGAGGACATTTTATTTCTAATTTATCTCTTAGTTTATCTGTTGACTTTTTTTATTTATTTATTTATTTTATTTG